AAAAAAAACGAATCGGCGCGGCGCTTATTTCACGGTCAAAATGATTTTTTTAATTTTTTTCTGATATTTTTCTTTGAAAGATCACCACTTAATCTACGGATCCACAAATTTTCAGGCAATTTGATGAATTCTTCTGAGCTACAAAAATCGCCGAAGTTACCGCTTGCAAATGGCGGGATTGGACCGGGCGGGCCACGAAAATTGACTTCGCGAAAAAAAAAACGAATCGGCGCAGCGCTTATTTCACGGTACAAATGATTTTTTTTTATTTTTTTTCTGACATTTTTCCTTGAAATATCACGACCTAATCTACGGACCCTCAAATTTTCAGACGATTTGATGAAATATTCTGAGCTACAAAAATCGTCAAAGTTACCGCTTGCAAATGGCGGGATTGGACCCTCCGGTGACGAACGGTCGCCGCCCCTCCGTAGAACCTGGCCCTAACTCACAGGGACTGGGAGGTTTCGGCAGCTGGGGGACTGGTGGTCTTAGCTTTCGACACACAGGCACATCCTGACGTGCCAGCAGCCAGATGCGGATACAGTTCAAAAGAAAGCAGTCCCCTAAAACATACAGGGACCCAGTCCGCCTCAATGGTTATCTCCATGAGCAATTCATTATTTCAAAATCTATACGTGGGTTCAAACCCCAACCCGACCACTGCAACCGAACTTCGAATACTTACTAATATATTATATATATAGTGTGTGTGTGTGTGTATGTGCATGGGTGGGTGGGTGGGTGCGGGCGGGCGGGCGTGTGGGTGCGTTTGGCCTCCAAACTTTTTTGTCTTCCGCCGCGTCCGGACAACCATGCCCGCTTCGTCTTTTCCGTGAAAAGAAAAGCGACTGCCAAACGAAAAAAAAAAGAAACGAAAAGAAAAGCGAGTGAAAAACAAAATAAAAAGAAAAAAGGAAAACGACGCGTTCTTGCTATCCGACGGTGGGCGCTTCGAGATGTTCCCTCTTATCGACGCCCGCCGCCGCACGGCCTTGTGGGCGCGCTCTTTCGTTCTTTGGCGCGCTGTGAACAATTCGATACGCGCACCGCTCTGCACACAGCCGCTCCCTCGATCGCCTTCATCCCCCGGCCCGCATCAAAAGTTGAACCCGATTCTGGCGCGCAGCGGACCACCGGCCTCCCCCCGCAGCCAATGCTCCTTAAGGGTTAGGATAGAAGGTCAGGCTTTCAATTTCATGGCCAGCCCCTGTGTGTATGGGGATTGCATTGCAACCATATCCGGGAGGCACAAGGACCCATTGCATTGCAACCATATCCTGGAGGCACAATGACCTGTAATAACCCTGTTCAGAAGTAGCATGGGGCCCAGAACTCAGCCCCAGGCCACGCAGACCTGAGAAGGTCTGCGGTGGGCTGTCTGACCAAGACACGTCCAGGCCTGAGTCTGTCGAGTGTGGCTGTGTGACCGCACACTGCACACAGGAAATTCAAGAGTCAAAGTCAACTGTAGAGTCAAAGGTACCGCACCCAGGCCCTGGGATGGATACACTCACTTGTTGTGCGCAGGTACCCAGACAGCATCCAGGCCGGAGGGAATTCGGTTTCAGGCCGATCTGAGCCCTAATTCGCATTGAGATCTGGACGGCCGAGGGATACAGCAGCCGGGGTCCAGACCCCGCGTCAACACTACATAAGAGTCGACTTCCTGGCTTTGACATCATTCTGTCTTGCGTTGATGCTGACTTCACGCATTGACTTTGACGCTGGCTTGATGCTGCGACGCTGGCTCGACGCTGCTGGCATTGTAACTGGGTGAGGCGCTGCTATTCCGGCATGGTGGCCGGCTTGCTCCTGTCTTCTTGGCATGCTGATGTGGCAGCTGCCCTGCGCCTTCGCTGATGTGACTGCTGCCACGTGTATCATTTGGCTGACGTGGCTGCTGCCCACGTGTTCTGTGACTGGGACTACATATTCGGCATTGCTGTTCTGTTCGTCGTCACTTCAGGAGGAGATCAGGACTGTGGAGAGTTCGAGGATACGTACCAGGTGGTCTTCATGTCGACATTGCTCCAGATGCTGATGTGGAACTGATTAGGCGTGCCACGTGGCACATTGAGGATACTCGGATACTCGTTCAAACTATTGATTGTTGAGGTGGCAGGAGGAGGGAGCCCGAAGCAGGAGTGGGCATTTTCTTCCTCTCCTTTGTCTTTTCTCCCTCCTCTCTTCGTCTGTGTATGATATCTCACCTCATTCTGTCTAGTCACAATTTTTTATAATTAGTAATCATCAGCCGATGGCCATTTATCTGGACTTGCATTGTTGACAACTGTCTCACGNCTCACCTCATTCTGTCTAGTCACAATTTTTTATAATTAGTAATCATCAGCCGATGGCCATTTATCTGGACTTGCATTGTTGACAACTGTCTCACGATCTGGGTTCATTACAGACCCCCATCAGAACCTCAGAAGTCTACATAAATTTTAAATATTAAATATTAAATACTAAATAGTAAACTTAGTAAATAGTTCACAATGATAAGTTGCAGACGGTGAAATATGCCAGACAGATAGGGCCATAAAATCTGGAGGTTACAGATTGTCCAAAAAGATGACCTTGCACACTATCGTACACAACGAGTTCACAAATTCACAGTAAGGTTTCTGGATAGGAAGCAGGGCGCCCATAGCCGCCAAGGTTTGAGTGTGATCTGAGCGGGTGTATCCAGGGCACGATCCAAGGCAGGAGAGAGAGAGAGAGAGAGAGAGAGAGAGAGAGAGAGAGAGAGAGAGAGAGAGAGAGAGAGAGAGAGAGAGAGAGAGAG